CTGCGGTTGTGGTTTACGGCTCGGTCGCTCAGCCTGTTCCGGCTCCTCGACGAAGGGGCAGCGGCCATCCGTGACAGTCCTAAACTGGGGCCATTCACCGTCGTACTTGTTGTTGACCTTAGGGTACTCCCGCACCATGATGGGCTTTTGCTTCTCGTCAATGTCGTAGACGTATATATACGGTCCCTTGAAATTGATCATCTCCCGGCTCGTGACGGCATCAGAAGGACCATTGAGTCTCTCCTTTTGCAGCAACTGCATCAGGCCAGGCTCGTCTGCAGTTCTCTTGGTGCTCAAGCTCCTGGACTCGCCCTTGTGGCCAATTTGCGCGACAACGTGCGGGTCAGGCTCCAACAGAAACTGCAACATCCTCTGGAACTTCTCGACCGACCATATCTTCTTTCCCATGTCACGAGCCTTGTGCAGGACATCATTGCTGCGCGTAGGACGCGCACGCCTGACCCCGTCATCTTGCGGCTGGGTGTGAGTCCGTCTTGACGGGTGATCAAACAATAAACGTCTTCGTGCATCGGGGGCCCGGTCGAGAAGAGACGGGTTGATGGTCTGTGGCTGCTCTTCGGGCTCGGGGTCTTGGTGTGCGGGGGCGTGCACTTCTTCCTGTGCAGGAACTGGACGGGCGGTCACGACATGAGTGATGCTGCTCGAGAAGAAGCGTTCGTCTCTCTACACATGACATATTAGTGACCAAACAGTGTTTTCAACACATGTGCTGCGACATACAGCTCCAAGAGACATGGCATGGCGGGAAAGCTTGGCCCTCTGGTCCTCGGCAACACTGTCGAAGTAGAAGACCATCTTGGGGAATCGACCGCGATATTCGGCCTGCCATTGTCGGATCTTGTCGACGTTCGCATCATCGTGGTGGTGGGTGGAGCGTTCTTTCGTTACGGGGCGGGCGACACGCTGGGGCAGTTGTGAAGGCTTGGCGATCTTGGACGGGGAGCGTTGGTGGCGGGAGGCAGTGTTCTCGACGACCTGCTTCTTCAAAGGCGGCGGCTGGCCGTACAGCTCTTCTCTCTGGATGTTGGCGTGAGAACGCCTCTGCTTGGCGAGAGCCAGAGCAGAAGCAGATCTCAAGGGCGAATTGGCCACATTGGGGTTGCTAGACAAAGGCGTTCGTCTAGTGGACATGGCCGTGGGAGGGATTGGAGTGGGCGATAGGGATATGGCTGCCATAAAAATGCCCAATCAATATGCTCGACGTGGGAAAGGAAAGGTTGTTGTTTTGTTTGTGTGGTGGTGTGGGTTTGTATGTCGGTCGAGAGCGAGGCGGGGGGGTTGCTCTGTGGACGGGACGGGACGGGATGGGCACGCGACGTGGAGGCTGACACGTCGCTCACGCGTTCCGACAGAGAGCGTGTCGTGGGTTCACGAAGACATCGAATGCGCTGGGCGGCCGTGAGGAGGGAGGGAGATGCGAGAAGGAGAGGAGGTCGTCGTGGAGGTTCGTCGTGAAGCCAAAAAGAAGCAGCCAGAACGCGGGTGTGCGAGTGGGCAGGTTCAAGGCAGAGCTTTATTAATATGGAGGTAGGTAGGTAGGAGGAGGAGTGGTTGGTGTTGTGTGTGTGTGCGGTGCGTGGGAGGAGTCCCCGGCCATCATCCCAGCCCATGAGCAAGACCACCCCCGTCTTGGTTCACTCACTGCCTGTGCCTGGCCTGTCCGGGACCCAGTCACCTAAGTCGCGCTTGATGGGTTTTTGGGGGGGGAACAACAGCACTAATCCCCGTTCGGCAGCGTGGAAAACACGCACGGGCCAGTTTCTTCTCTGGCAACCGGTCAAATTTGCTTGGCCCTGCCTGCACAGTACCCGCAGCGGCGCGTCTTCTCTTAGTGACTGTTCACACTTCACAGCTGCTGTGCTACAGTGGAGGCTCGCTGTAATCTGGCATTCTAGCACCACAACAACAACTGGTAGCGACCTGATCCGGCGGCGGCCTGGAAATTGGACGGATGGAGCTGCAGTGGGAAACCAATAAAAAAAAATCCTGCCGCAACTGGGGGGCGCTCAATTGGCAAGCCATGGATGCATCCAGTTTCTTTCGACATGGCACTTTCACATTGCATGCTGTACTGCGTATATGCTGCGGCACTTACTTTACTTGCCTTAGCTACATATGTACGACATTAATGTCCATGGCAATAAACGCCATGTAACTCCGTCCGTCGTCTTCTTCCACTCCTTAGATACATAAAAAAAAAAAAAAGCATCCACTCCAAACAAACAAATCTCTGCGTCATCCCATCGCCCGCTCCTCGTCCTGGTGGCCCGATTCCCAAACGGGCATCTCTCACCTGCCCCGTCTCGGTCTCAGTCCTTGCGGGAAGGCCGCATGCGCTGAACTGATCACTCTTTGACGAGTCAGCCTGCAGCCTTTGGCCCTTAGCCTGTCCTCGCTCCGTCCGGTACAGTGCAGACGATTGCAGTACATCCACTGCCTTCCGTGATGACCTCATCCGGATCGTAGAACCCATCCCTTCTCGTTCATAAATCTCACCTGCCGCCCTACATCCCCTGCACATCGCTCCATTTCTGGTCATGAACTCCTCACGTCCAGTGAGCAGCGCCCTTCGGGCAGCTCAGAGACTGAGATGCTGCAATTCCGTGCCCTTGTGGCGCCCGTCACTCTCATCGAGTCGTCAGATCCGCCGCTACGCTGCCGTCTCTGCTGCCGATCTCCAGTTTGGCCAGCCAGTGCATGAGACACATCCTCACATTCTCAAAGCCGGCGAGAGTCAGTACCATCTTCACCCAATCACTGCCCATAGCATTTAATACGTTGCCCTCAAACTCTTAGCAAGGATCCTGAATCAAATGATCTTGGGCTGACTTATATGTTTAGTCACTCCGGGTATCACAGCCCAGGAATACTGGGAGAGACGTGCCCGCCTGGCCGAGAAGCTGCCCGACGGTGGCGTTGCCGTTCTGTCTGCCGCCGACCTCAAGTACCGCTCCGGTGCCGTCTTCTTCCCCTATCGCCAAGAGTCCAACTTTCTGTACCTGACCGGCTGGAATGAGGGCGATTCCGTGGCTGTCATCCAGAAGACGGGCAAGGAATTCGGCGACTACCTGTTCCACCTGTTCACTCAGCCCAAGAACCCGGCGGCCGAGCAGTGGTCAGGTGCCAGGAATGGCATTCAGGCCGCTACAGATATCTTCAACGCCGACAAGGCGGGCGATATCAATAAGATCCACCAGTACCTCCCCGACATCGTCAAGTCGGCGAGCCGCGTCTACACAGACCTTGAGAAACCGAGGCAGGGCGAGCAAGAAAACAAACTATGGCAGCTCATGAAGAGCGACAAGTCATGGTTTCCCTCGGTCAAAATTCCTCTGTATCCTCTCATGAACTCTTTGAGGTGTATTAAGTCCCCGGCAGAGGTCGCAAACATGCGTCGCGCCGGCCAGACCTCGGGCCGGGTCATCACCGACGCCATGCGCAAGCAGTGGACCCGCGAGAAGGACCTCCACGCCTTTCTCGATTACAGGTTCACCGCAGACGGCTGTGACGGGCCGGCATACGTCCCCGTCGTAGCAGGCGGGCAAAACGGTCTCTGCATCCATTACGTCGTGAATAACAACGTGATGAAAGACGGCGAGATGGTTCTCGTCGACGCGGGCGGGGAGTACGGCACATACATCACTGATATCTCTCGCACCTGGCCTATAAACGGCAAGTTCAGCGCGGCACAGAAGGACCTATATGAAGCCGTTCTCACCGTCCAACGTTCAAGTGTGTCCCTTTGCCGTGAGAACGCCAATCTCTCCCTCGACGACATTCACGACCAAACGGCAAACGGTTTGCTCGAGCAGCTCAAGAGCCTAGGCTTCGACATCACCTCCCGCGACCTTGATGTCTTATTTCCGCACCATGTTGGTCACTATGTCGGCCTGGATGTCCACGATGTTCCTGGCTATGGTAGGAGAACGCCGTTGAAAGCGGGACACTGCGTTACCATCGAGCCCGGTATCTATGTTCCGGACACGGACCGTTGGCCGGAGCACTTTCGCGGTATGGCGGTTCGGATTGAGGACAGCGTCTGTGTGGATACCGAGTCACCGTACATTCTCTCGACAGAAGCTGTAAAGGAGGTTGCCGATATCGAGGCTCTCAGGGACTGAACCCTTGTGAAACCGAAAAGGATCAAAATTTTGTAAACAAAGGTGTACACTATCAAGCCAGGGTGGCACAGAAGTCGTGTCTCTACACAAAAAACACGGCGTAGCTTCCGCTATGCAAACAATGTAAACTTGTTCCTGAGTGTCTCTGCAAACTTCCAGGAGCTGCCTTCGTATCTGCCCGTCGAGCTGAGCTAGCAACGAATGTTGTGAGTGTTATTTCTCCTGGCATCCTAAAACAGGACCCTTGTCTTCGCAGTCCCTTGACGTGCAAGAAGAGGTGCCCCGTGGAAGGTTCGGCATGGAACAGGCGGGCTCCTCATCTGTTAGAAGCGGACGTTTCCCGCTTCTTGGAGACCAGCTGCACGAAGGGGATGCCAATGGGGTCATGTCAGTCAGCCGATTTGGTTGCCAAGACGAGATCATTCCGTTGGCAGCTTGAGGTAGCACGTCAAATGAAACAAAAGGGTGTTCGCTACAATTTCAGAGGTTTCTGGGACCTCACACGCAGCTCGACATCTGTGCTCATCAAAAAACTCCGATGAATCCAAGTGTTCTTTCTAGGTTGCTAAAAGGATATGCGCCAGACATAGAGCAGTGTATGACCTGTCACATCAGAACCATGCCGAAAATGCCATCCGGAACAGAAAAATCACCTTCAATACATCCCCGGAGGAATTGACCGATAGTGCCAAAAACCCGAATAGAGGTCTGATAACCTTGAATTATTTTGTATATGCCTGCCTGTTCATGCTTCGTAGATTGGTCGCAATCGTATATTTTAGGGCAAATGATAGCCCTTGACAACAAAATATGTACAGTTTCGCAATCATAATGCGTAATTTGATAAGGGGAGAGATGTTAACAGAAGCCTCTCGGGTCGAACAAGGTTCTGCTGTAATTCGGCATTGGGAAGGGTTGCCGCGCCGTGGCGCTCAACAGTTGTTCGAAGGCTTGTAGGCGCCTGGCGAGTTCCTGATGCTCGCGCATGATGGCTTTGTTTCTTCGTTCAAGGTAATGGATATACTCCGTTGCTTTCGTGAGGACAGTACCCTAGACGTGTATCAGTACATGTTGTGTAAAGCTGAATGGCCACGTCACCGCTTACCTTGCTGACTTTGGGCCCGCGTTGCGACTGACTGTCCACCTCGGCGTCTTCGCCTCCCTCCTCGGGTATCGACTTGAGTGATGGTACAGCGTCGCGAAGCTCGGAGATCTTGTCCTTGAGATTGGTGCGGTACTTTCTCTCAATGTCGTTATGTGCCGTTCGGTCGCCGCCAGCCTTGGCCTTGTCTTTAGACTTTTCAGAGGCCCCAGTTGCAGCCGTCGTGGTTCGAGACACTTGCGGCCGTTGGTTTTTCGAGTCTTTCTCTGCACTGTCTCTCTCCTTTTCCTTCCCCTTACTGTGGAGACCCGACTGTTCGGGGCCCCTCGTGAGTTCATCCATGCTTGCTGTCGCCATGCCGGCATCGAAATTCTCGAGACTCGCAAACTCGGGGCCCAGGTCTGCGCCAACCCCGAAACCCATTCCGGCGCCTAGACTAGTTGATGAACGACCGGTATTGAGGGCAATGGCCAGCAAACGTCGCTGCTCCGGATCGAGCATGGGCGTGCCCATGCCTCCCATGCCGCCCATGCCAAATAGAGGGTTCATCCGCAGGCCGGGCGCTGGCTTCTCCCAACTCAGGGGCGTCGAATAAAGGCCCTCTCGCGGCGGAACCTCGGAAGGGGGTTGCGATTCTATTTTGCCGAGCTGATCGCCTAGGTTCATAGACTCCAGAAGCTCTTCATCATCGGAGAGAGCGTTGTCAAGGGCAGTGTCGTCCATGAAGTCCTCCGGCTTGAATACAGGGTTTGTGTACAGTCCAGCGCCCAAGCCAGGGGTTGTTGACATGGGGTTCAGACGATTCGCAGCCGGTGGTCTAGAGAGAGTTAGCGAAGTCGCTCAGATGCGTCTACTTTTGAGAGCCGCTAAGAGCATACCTAGGATAGTGTTGGGTCGGATGTCTTCGCTTAGAAAAGTCAATCTCGAAGCTACCGCCGAGCTTTTGCTCATCGTCGTCGTCGAATTGGATCCAGTAATCGACTGATTCTAGTGCCGCAGCCTCGGAATCCACCTTGGTCCGCTTTCGATCGTGACCGTCCCTCCGCCTCTGGCCAGCATTCTGGGCTGTGCGTGTCGGCAAAGCATTCCTGGGCTGGCCTTGTCCAAAGGACATTTGAGCAGGCATAGCACCCATGCCGAAATTCGTGCTGACAGGCGAGGCCTGAGCAAAAGAGGGCATTGAGGAGGGACCATTGGAAGTCGATTCAGAGTTGCTCTGGTCGGCCCCTAGGGTCTCCCAGAGAGAAGGATCGGGAGCATTTCTCGCAGCACCTGCGGCCGAAGATTCGGCGGGTTGCTCCACAGAATTATTTGTTTGGTTGTTTGGGACGGCGAAGTAGTCGAGGTTCTTTAAGAAGTTGGGGTCCATTACCACAAAGCCAGCATTTCGGCCCCCGAAATGTCGGCGGTCGTCGATCTAGAAATCGATATTGTCTTTTCGCGGAAGGGAGAGTGGGTGCTCGGCCCAATCGTATGCCGGTGAGTGCTGAGCAGCGAGGACTCAGAGATCTCGTACGTTTCTTGGTTGGAGGGGGGGCAGAGTTTGGCGATTCAAGATGGACAGTCGTACCACCTCGTATAGCCAATCAGGTCGAAGTCGGAACGCAATGGCAACGTCGTCTATGGCGGCAAGGGAAACTCGCAGAAGTCGTAGAAGTCGGCAGGGATGGGTCGAGATGCAGGATGCAGTGCAAGACAAAGAAGTCGGTCGCGTTCAAGGGCCGCCAAAAGTTCTGGGTTCGTAGAGGTGCGACACCTCAAGTAGAGAGGTCGGCAGGGCGATGAGGCGGGGATTCGCTTATTAAGGTCAGCCAAGGTCCAAATACTCGAAGGACTTGGTCGAGACTTGCGACTAAGACAGGTGGGTTGAGACGGAGACGAGACGAGGGCAGGGCAGATGTGCAGACGTAAGGTAGGTAGAAGCAACAGCAGGAACAAGAGCAGGAGGCAAATCAGAGGATAGCAGAGCGTCGACGGACGGGTACGGAAGGCGACAACGAGATCCGTCCAAACACGGGGAAAGGACAAGAAAAGAGTTGAGGGTTGGGGAGATTTTTGTGGAGGCAGAGACGAAAATGACTGGTCACACCTTACGTGTATGCGGCAGGGAGCAACGGGAGGCAGGCGGCAGGCAGGAAGATCGTTCGGTCGGCTGGTAGGTGTGTAGCTCTATCCGTCGAAACGGGACGGGAGGAAGAGGAAAGAACAGAGAAGAGTGTTGACGAGCAGGTAGCCAGCCGGTGTTGGGTTGGCTGGCGCTGAGGAAGGGGCGCGGGAGAGAGGCACGAAAGCGCGAGGCAGAGCGGCAAATAGCGCAGCAGAGAAATGTATTGCGCCGGAGAGACGAAGACAAAGTCGACTGATGTTTAGGGACACAGAATGGACCCGCGCCGGATCCCGTACGGTGAGCTACCCGGAACAAGACCGTGGACGGCCGAAGCAAGCTCAATGCAAACAGAGAGTGAGTGAGTGTGTGTGTGTGGGCAAGAGAAAAAAAAATGTGCAAAAGGTTGCCAATTGGATGAATGAGTGACGGAGGAACGGACGGAATGGCCTGACCTCGAATTCGCCAGCTTTGGCGGCGACCGGGGCACAGTGAGAGCGCGTATCAAAAAGTCAACCACTTCGTCGGGAAATCGTATGATATTTCAGGCGCTGGAGGGGAGGTCGTGCGATGGCCGCCAAGTCTAAAAGGCACCGCAAAATCTCTCTGCTTCCGGATTCCACTCATTTGCACAGCTGCCCGCCTCTTATTTGCCGAACAGAAGGGCCCATCCTTGACAGACCCCTGGCGTCTCTGTTTTTCGGCCCAGTATTCTTGCAAAGCTGCCAATGGGCTGAGCGCCTAACATGAGTGGAATCTCGCTATAGGGAAAAAAAAAGGTTCTCTGTGCCGTGCATCACTTCCGGGTGTCGTAGCTTGATGATTGGCCACGTGTCGATCCGGCCCCACTTGACAAGCCCGGATTGTCAGCCTTGCATGCCTGGCCCAAGCTTCCCCAGAATAGACTTCCCGCTGCGTTAGGGTCTGCCTGCTTCTGGCTCTGGTCTTGCAGCATTCTCTCCCCTCCCTCCCTTCTTTTCCATGTTGCTCTTCCCCCTTTGAGGCGTAGTGCGAGCCCAGCTGATCTGGCCCTCGGCCACTCCCACACGTCGCCCGCCCCTCGCCTCGCCTTGCAAACCTGAAGAGACGTTCCATCACTTTTGCTGTGCACACGCGTTCCAGCCGCTGCCATCCTTCGTTTCGTCAGCAACTAACTATGCCGTGCGCCATGCGGTATGCGATATGGGTGTCACGGTTCGTCCGTCTTTCCAGCTCCGACACGTGGACGTAGATTGCGGGTTCCATCCCATACCCACCTGCCGTCGACAGCTGCGGTCAACGTTTGGTTCGCCTACCGAAAGAGCCTCGGGGTTACACCTCTTGGAAGGCTGGCCGCCTCCGTCCACCATCGGTGCGGCGGGACGACCTAGGAACGGGGCCTCCAACGTCAAAGAAGCGAAGTCCGGCTTCCGGCACGGTGCCCCTTTAAAACTCCGTTCATTGCCGTCTGCGTCTTTCCCCGTCCCCCACCGCTCCGAAGCGCTATCGGTTTCGGACGAAACACTACAGAATGTTCACACCTCAACCAGCACGTCGGTGGCGAGACAGCACGTGGGATGGTCGAGACACACCGAGACACCGTTGGCGCCGTTGCGAGAAAACGCCTCTATCCACATGCCTTTGACTTGGGCGTCGCTAAATGGCCCCTTGCCTTGTTACTAGCTCCAACCCTATCGTGAGTGTGTTCTTGCCATAGGCACGTGACGCCACACGTCACTACATGTACCTTCTCCAGGCAGTACTAGCCAGTTACCAATCCAAGCATCCTATATCCCACTCTCGTTGCAATTTGGTAGCATAACCGGTTCATCTAAACCACCAGAAAAATACCACCACGGCTATGTAGCTACCATTGGATTTTTCACCAAACGAGTACTACCACGGCGATACTACCACCATCGGACTCACTAGCCCTCGTAGCACCAGCCCTCGCAGCACCAGCCCTCGCGGTACTAGCCCTTATAGTAGCCCTCACGCTACTATACTACTCTATACGACTCTACCCTACTCTATACGACTCTACCCTACTCTATACGACTTTACCCTATAGCGTGCTTTTTGGGAGGAAATTTTGGGAGAAAAACACACTAACGAGGACGTCAGCTTCATGTTTAGAAGGGGGGATATTGCCATAGGCACGTGACGCCACACGTCACTACATGTACCTTCTCCAGGCAGTACCAGCCAGTTACCAATCCAAGCATCCTACATCCCACTCTCGTTGCAGTTCTGGTGTGCATTCATCCTGATCGTGCCTAACTGGATGACCGCTTCTTTGATTATACCATTTCTTTTCCAGGGCGCAACCATAGCCACCCCCAAAAAATCCTCGTCTTCAATGATTTCTGAGAGCGTGCGACGACGCTAGTGGCGTTTTGATCACAGACTAGCCGAGTAATGGAGAACAGGCGACAGAAAACATGGTCAGGATTGCGACATCTCGAGCCGAGATTTGAAGTGATGAAAGAAATCTCTTCGTCATGGGCAAAGGTGCTGTGCGAGCATCTTGCTACTTATGTCCTTTGTTGACGCTGAGTATTTATATCCGAAAAACCGCCCCTTCCCTAATTCGAGAGCATCGAGATACATCGCCGCAAGCCAACGCCAGTACCTTATACAGCGTCGCCATCATGAAGCTTGCCATGACTGCCATGGCCATTCTTTGGTGTTCGGCTTTCGGTCTGGGCCTGATGAACTTCATTCAATCCTCAAGCCCTGGAGCTGGTCCTGTCTACCCTGACTGCCTCCGATTTTATCAAGCGAAACCGGGCGATAGTTGCCAAAGCATCGCTGATGCGCATTCCATCACCCTTCTGGATTTCATTTGGATGAACGCAGGCCATGGCAGTCAACACACATGCGCCGATGTTAGCGTCACGACTGGCGAGTGATACTGCGTCAAGGGCGGAAGGCTCAGCTCCATGGCGTCGCTGCCTTCCGCATCCCAGTATGCCAACAACGTTGTCGATGAGTGAAGGATGATTCCCTCCTATCCTACCAAACGGTCGCGGCGGTCTGTCCCCAGTGCTCATAATCTTGCGCATGCCGCGCCCACAGGCAAGTTGCCAGTGAGGACTACAGGGTTTCCCGCGAAGACTGAACCTGCCACAGCAACTACAACACCCCCGGAACCCGCCTGTGAACTAGACGGGTGCGCTGCCGGACTTCGAATGGCTTTCGGCGACGCAGCATCTGCTCAGAGACATTTCTGTACCAGCGTTATTGGGCCGGGGTGTAGCCACTACGAACTTCAAGAAATGGACCTTCCAAAGTCACTCAATGGCGTTTGTACGCAACGCAATTTATGCCAGGACATCTCATCTGTATGCTCCTGCTGGAGCAAAGAGAAGACGGCGTTGGGCCCCCGTCGCGAACGGCTTTGGTGGTGGAGAACATGAACGTGAAGGTGCCTGTCCTTCGCATGTTATGAGTTAGTCGGCTATACCGGCAGATACTTTAGCCCAGCGGATGGAGCGCTGCCTACATTGACCCTATTGTTACGTTGCGCTATCCCTGTTATTCCTGATGTTCAATACCCTAGCTACATGCTGAATTTCAGCAAGACGATAATGTTAGGTTTCAACCTAGGTATGCCTCACGACCCAGACCACTCTTTCAGCTTCATCCAATTCGCAGCGCAATTGCTGGACTCAGCAACGGGGGTTAGGGTCGGCCGCCCGGTTGGCGCAATCAGTGCATAAACCAGGCCAAGCGATGACATCGTGCTTTGGCTTCGGCCCCTTGCAGCCCTTGCCAACATTTTGGCACCACTTGATGTTGTGGAAGCCATGGTGACCGCAGTCATATGCCTTGTCGATCTGCACACACATTATGGCGGCGATATTCTTGGAAGCGTACTTGGTTTGTTTCTTTTGTCTATGACACGCACACTGCTATCATCATTTCACGTCAGCATACTTGTTTGATCACTGATTTTTCCCGCCAAGTAATGTCAAACATGGGGATCTCGTCATACAGATTGTAAAGGAGTTATGTCAAGTCAGCTCGGTGGCACCAAGCTCTTTAGAAGGCACTGCGACTGTATAGCCGAGTTGATGATAGACCTTTGAAGCGTCTGTCTCCTTGCTTCGGACTCAAAGTCACAGGCTGTCTAATAACAGCAGGAAGCGTAGACGACAAACACTATGGGTCAGACTTCAAGACATCGAATCCGCGAAAGAGAACTTTGTTAGAGTCTCTGACGTGGTAGGAGGGACAGGAAAGCTGCGACGCCGATAGCTGAACGAAGATGCGAGTGGTTTAAG